GTACTAAAGGTAATGTTTGATCTCTTGGTACAGAAGTAAACAAATTGGAAACAGAAAAAGAAACTAAATAAAAGCTCTCTTCTATTTTAATGTTATTTAAACGTTCCATTAGATCTAAAGAATTTGTAATGGAGAACTTAGGTTTAAAATATGTGATAGAATGAATTGTGTTGTAAATAAACTCTGATAATATAGAAACTGGAGTGTTACAGAAACTTGGAAACTTACAACATGCCTTATGGGACAATTGTGTTTATGGATTTTAGGAAGTCCATATAACCTAGGTGTTATACGATTAGATAAATGTTAACTTTAACTTAAAAAAAAAGTTATAATTGCCATTTGGACTGCCAACCTCCAAAAAGAGACGGCGCAAAAAGAAGAAGAATAAAGTTCCCGAAAACATGACAATAGAAAATAGTTCTTATTGAGATCATTTTAAATATCACAGCCTCGTAGAATTTTATTAATATTTTGAATCGCTGAATGAGAAATTGTGATTAAAATAAACAAAGCTACAGCTCTTTGAAGTGCAAAAGTGAAATCCGCATCATACAAAAAGGCATATCGCTTTTTACGTTAAAGCCGCATTAAAAATACTTTGTAAGTTTTCTAAAGCAACGCTGCTGCCGCGTTTTATATCGAGAAACGTGTATGGTTTGTCTCTAAACTTTATTTCGTATTGAGCGAGAATATTAAATATCAGCCAGCTGGCCGTTACTTATGCGTATCTGTTTATAGGCGTACAGTTCTTCAACAATATATATATATATATATATATATATATATATATATATATATATATATATATATATATATATATATATATATAAGATGGTGGTATTTTTGACTGTTGATTTAAATATAAGTTGTGATTTTTGAGGATGCAGTCAGTTTATTTGGCCCACAAGACAAAGTAAGTCAAAGAGTTTTCTTGATTTTTCTTGACTGCATCCTCAAAAATCACAATATATATATATATATATATATATTTGTCGGTCAGATAGCTCAGCGGGCTGTGCGGCTGCCTCTCATTCGCTTCACTGTCGAATGGTTCAGTGGATGTGGGTTCGAGCCCCAGCTCGGTGTACTGAAAACAAAAAGTCTAACGCAGCAGTTTAAAATTCTAGATGAATCTGCGGCTTAGACTAGGATATGCTGGAATCTGATCGGCCTATGGTGGAGCAGTACGGCAAGAGATAAGGGCTTGCGGCTTGGTGATACTCCTCCATAGATCCCTACCGGACGGGCGTAACGCCTAAAAAAACCGGATATATATATATATATATATATATATATATATATATATATATATATAAAATATATATATATATATATATATATATATATATATATATTGAATAATTTTTATTTTCACGACGTTTCGGCAGGTCACACTTGTCATTGTCAAGTCAGGTAGTAACGCTGCTTGCTGATACTTAAAGTAAACTGACTCTCCTCTGAGTCCTGACTCCTGGTCGATGCAGTTACATATACAGTCGATCGAGGCGCGCTTCTCTCGAATGGTCCTTGGCAAAGCTTCTTGCGACTGGTCCTGTCCGTGTGTAGGCAGGCGGGGTCCAACTAACCGGTCTTGTGGTCTGATGTATTTTTGACTTTTTGTGTATAGTGGTACGCTACCCACTAGTGGTTTGCTAAACTATGATTCTGCAATCACAGGTATAACTGTGATCGTGACTTTTTATTCATTGTGATTTTTACCTGTGATTGTGATTTAACAAATATTTAATTTGCATTCCTCATTAGTAAGAGACTTCACAATACCGCCGATGAGCAGACTATCTCTATCTCGTTCCTTGTTATTCTGTTAGACGTCTCTCATTTCACAACTTTACGACTTAAGGTCGATTCAGACACATCAGTCACGTCTCGTCACAGTGATTGCGCCGAACCGAACAATCCGTCATACAAAATATTCTTTAATACAAATATGTTGCTGGCATTCACACCCATCAGTTGACAGTTTCCCAGCTGTCAGATAGTTGATAGTTCTGTGACCAAACAGGACCGGTTCGGCGCCGAGACTATGACGGGACTGATGTGTCTGAATTGACCTTTATAGCGGCTTCCCACGGTCGGCGATATTACGGACGTAAGCGGACCAGCACGCACCACGCACCGTGGGAAGGGTCTTGTCTGTGGTAGCGCAGGCACGTCTGTGCTGGTCCGTCCTATCCATCTAGAGTCGGTAACATCAAAGGTGCGGTACATGCTCGTACGACGCGATTCTAGCGCGTCTGTGTTTTAACAGACGACAAGTGCAAGTCAGAAGTTTTTCATTCGCTGACACGAGTAGTTGTCTGTAGTGTTGTCAAAGTTGTTTTGCAGTTTTTTGCTAAAAAATCGAATGGACAAACGAAGTTATTTTTGATTTTTTAAATTTGTATCAAAATGAAAGAAATTTATGGAATTCTACGGCACCAGAGCATAAGAAACGGAACCGATATATACGATGTATGGAACCGAATAAAAAATCAATTGAAGAATAGTACTATTTCGATTAAAGAATTAAAAAAGAAGAGAAATAATTTAATGCCGAATTTAATGTTTACAAGCCTGAGTGGCCTTTTTATGATATAATCAAACAATACTGTCACGGACCTACACAGACTGTCACGGACCGTAGGAAGAGCTCTGTCTGCGGTGCGTTCTCGTCCGTGCTGATCGGCTGTCCGCGATGATCTGTAGAATCGCCGATCGTGGGAAGCCACTATTAGACGAGAACGTGAACAGAGACGTTTTAGCGATCAAGAACTACAGACACATAATAAGACCAACATCACAATCACATCACAGTCACAGTATATTTTCTTGTTATTCACGAGTCGTGATTGTTATATTCTAATCGCAGCTGTTAAATCATAGGATAGTGATATTTAGCCCACCTCTACTAACCACTGCAGTGGTCAAGTTGGACACATAGGAGACATTCGTTGGACTGTCCGAGGTTGAATTTGTATTATCCCGAGTATCTGATGAAGCAGGGATGCTGGGAAGCACGGGAAGTTTAACGAATTTGTCCTCCTAAGCCATATAATTGGCCATTCAATATTTTAATTTAGAAGCTCGCAAACTAAAGAACTTTTTACCTAATATCCTAATATATAGAACAGCTATACCTCATATACATTTTAAAACGTTCAAAAACCTGTATAAGATTTTTCAGCCTTTTTATTGTCTTTATTCGCCTAGTAGAGAAGCAACATATCCTGTAAATAAGGGATTTCAAGGCCAACACTAATGGCCCGATGGCTCTATAGCAGGAGCGACTTAATTAAATTAAATTAAATTGTCATTGTCTCTACAGTTAGTAAAGTAGATACGTACAGTTAGTGACAGTTCGTATGTGTTCTAGTAATTCGGCAATAATACTTTATTTTCAACCAGTGTGTGGTGGAAATGCACTAATCAACTGCGATAATTTGGAAGATGCGTGAAACAAAATTATTGTTATGGGTTCTTTAAAGGTTATTTCATTCACAACCTACACTGGAGCGCAAAATTATCCAAAAATTTTGATACTTTGCACATTTTCAGATTTTTTATTCTTTTTTCTTTGTAACAATAAAACACTGAAAACTTTGTTTTCGAAACTTCCACAAAATTTGATATAAAATATTATCACTACAGCTGTTTCGGCTGATTGCCTTTATCAAGTGATCTATTTTTGGCATGCGTTTACACTTTATAGTCTTTAATGCAATAGGTTGAGGAGGGAAGAACTGTTTGTGTCAAGTTGATCATTCAGAATTATATCTGTGTTTTTTAATTTGTTAATTTCCATAGGTTCTAACAAAGATAGCTTAAGGCCTTTATTTTGAATGTGAAGAATTTTAAATTCGTCATTAGAGAATGATTATAATCTAGAAGGTAAAGTGCGTATGTGGAATCTGTTTTTCTATAATTGAAAGCACTTTTATGTTCTGCTATTCGTTTATTAAAATTTCTACCAGTTTGACCAATGTAAGTTTTTGGGCAGTCGCCACATTTAAGTTTGTATACACCACTTCTCCCTCTAACAATTCTCCCCTCCTCAACCTATTTCATGAAAGACTATAAAGTGTAAACGCATGCCAAAAATAGATCACTTGAGAAAAGCAATCAGCCGAAACAGCTGTAGTAATAATATTTTATAATAAATTGTGTGGAAGTTTCGATAACAAAGTTTTCAGTGTTTTATTGTTACATCAAATGAATTTGAATTGAAGTAACGGTCGAATCCATCAATCTTTTTTTTAGTTAAATATTTATTCGCAACAAATTTTAGTATTAAATTTTGTTTATTATTATTTAAATGTCCAATTGGGAACATTTTACATCTTACATCAGTGTATTCGTTAATTTTACACTGCAGTGTATTATGATTAATTTTGTTCGTGGAAATATTAGTTTGGAAGACATCGCGTTATGATTTATTTATAAAATAATCGATAATGTGTCATTATATGTAGACATTGATTGCCTAGAAGTTTATTTACATTTTTAAATTGTGAGTCAAACATACAATACAAATTGGAAGTATTTGTTTATCACCTGAAAGTGCAACAATTGTAGCTATTAAAACTAAAAAAGTAAATATGTACTTAAAAAATGTTTTACAGTTCTCTGTAAATTCGTAATCAATTTCGCATTTTTTTAAGTGAATGCCAATCTACCATCTTTTGACCAATCTACTCTCATACATTCTGAAAATATGACCTGAGTTGGCTATTCTCTATCGTATTTAATATGGGTTCATCTTTTAATTCTGTTCTTATTGCTTCATTTCTAATTATGTCAAATTTTATGATTTCTGCTATTCTTCTGAAATATTTCAGAAGATTGTCTTGTCTGTTTCAATTGGTATATTGGATTGGCTATGGCTTTAGACGTATTTTTTCTTATTAGTCCAGAAAACGAAGCTTAAAATAGGACAGAACCTCGCAAATTTCTCGGAAAAGACCGATTTGCATAAAAATTTGATATTAAGTTCAACTTACCCTTTACTTAAATATTGTGCCGGCCGGCGCTTTTTATTTTTTAAGGATGAAAATTCTCCTTATTGCCAAAATCTATAAAAAAAAAGGTAAAAAGAGTGAAAATTGGTTCAGAAGAATTAAATAGTGGTTGTCTGATAACTGTCGACAACTGATGGTTGTCGAAAACTATAATTGTTGACTATTTCAACCCTTTAAAAATTCATTATTAAGGGAGAAAACTACCCTTAATTGCTTAAATTTTATAAAAAAAAGGTTAAGAGGTGCTTTGTAATCGGTCAACCGAAAGAAGAAGAAGAAGCCTGTTCCAGAAATGAACATATTGTTTTTAAAATATAAAATAAAAATGTAATTCTTTGGACTTTTCTTATTGTAGAATAACTAGAACAGTCACAGTTTGAACGCGACACCCGACGGACTGGCGTCTGACGTCTGACCCTGTTAAATATTTTTCACACCTAAATAAAATATATCAATGACGTATAATATATAGACCCGGTGAACGCTTTAAAAAATGTCCACAACATGAATACCTTTATTTTGTTTTATTGTTTTGATACGAAGATGCACGAAGTTCATGATTTCTTACGAAGCATCACGAAGTTGATCTTTTGTTTGAAAACTTCATGGAGGTATGAAAACATTTTCTCCATTTTGTGTGTTTACATATTTTATGTGCCAAGCAAATTTTATTTTAAATTGTTGAGAGTTATTTACTTACTATTTTAGTAAAATGCCATACTATTTATCAAAATAATTATTTCTCTTATAGACGGGAACAAAAAGAAATCAAAAATATTTAATTTTAATTAAAAAAATAATTATTGTCATTAACATTTAAATGAGCACGCCGCTGTTCTGGTAAACATAACTTCAACCTTGAGCGGAGATCTTTCGGACACTCGATTTTATAGCGAGAATAGAGGACTGCTTAGTGTATATATTATACGTCATTGGGTAATATTCCCGTTCACGCATTATGTAGTGTTTTATCAGTTCGAGTTTACATATGGCCATCGAGGCATGGAGTAGTTAAAAGCTCGCAATTCACGTATAAAATACTCTCTCCGCCGAAATCGGGCAATTTCTCGTTTACGTATTATAAAGAAAGAGTACATTTGATATTGTATAGTTACGGCCGTGTTGGACCTCTCTACTCTTAAAAGATTTAATTATAAATCGATAAACTCAAAAGTGATTTTATTTCTCTGGAGCTATATTTGCTCACATTAAGAATCCTTATCCTTCAACAGTCGCTGAAGAACCAAACCTATGGAGATACATCCATTCACAAGTCCTTTGAAGTTAGGCTTGGAATCCAAAGATTTCCAACTCTCGTGATGTAGGTAGCCAAGTACAAGGCTCTCTCAAAGCCATTATACTACATAGCACTGATATGAAAAATTTCATATTAGAATTCATAAAATGGTATAAAATATTTTTTACCAGTATCCAAACATAACCGCATTCTTGCTTATTGTTGTAAAAAAAAATACCAGACAGAAAGACTATAGAAAATTGTATAAAAGAAAGGAAAAAATACTTTTAAACCACTTCTACCAATTCTATAGACGCGCGGTATAGACGTTTCGATATTTCCTGGCTTTATCTGTTAATTTTCACATTCCTAAACTAAGCAATCAATAAAAAAAATGAGAAATTGTAATTATCCCGTGCATGTATTCTCGATTTATGCAATTAGTCACATTGTTTACGATAAAAAAATGGTTTGCATATGACAGAATCATAATTGTGATTCAGATACATAACCAAAACATTCAAATTACTTTTTGATTACAAATCGAATCAACATATATCGAATAATAATTATTATATACATTAACTTTTATATAGTAATAACAAAATGATGTACGATCTGTACAAGGAATAGATATACAGTATACATATAGGTATATAGGGGTAACCAGAGTGCTGCTAAAAATATCGATTTTTTTCTACTTTCCTTGCTTACTACTTTATAAAACAATCAATGTTGGAGCAATGTGATAGAAATGGCTCGTTTAGAATTAAACAAAGAAGATTGCATAAATTTACTTTAAATAATATTCTTCCAAAATTTCAAATAAAATCAAATATTCATAATTGGACCAGCAATATTGGAGGCAAAAAATGCAGATGTTAATGACCTGAATGCGACCATTCTTGCAGGAAAGTTGTTTTCGTTCAATTCAAATCATTGACACAGTTCAAATCATTGTCACATAGATCAGGATGAGTCAACTATCCTACCTGATCCTGGTAAATTTGGTGTTAAATAAAAAAGCTATTATCGAAGTTAAGTGTAAAAGCACAAGCAAAATCTCAATGGAACTAAAATTAAGACTGGTCAAGTGTTATTTCTTCCCGGTCTTGTTCTATGGAGCAGAGGCATGGACCACAACGAAAGCCACCCTGAAGAAACTAGAATCATTTGAGCTGTGGATATATCGCCGTATTCTTCGGATATCCTGGACAGACCACATCACTAACGTGGAAGTACTGCAGAGAATCGGCAAAAGCAAAGAAATAATCTTCACCGTAAAGAAACGGAAGCTTGAGTACTTCGGACATGTCATGAGGCACACTAAGTACCGGCTGCTACAGTTAATAGTCCAAGGAAGAATCGACAGTAGGAGGGGACCGGGAAGAAGACGACACTCATGGATGCATGGAAGTCAAAATAATCTTGTTAATAGCCAACGTTAGCCAAGAGTTTTCGTATGAATATTTTTGTTCCTACATTGGTTTTTATTGATGTTTTATTTTTCAGGTTACCGAAATCAGTAACCAACAAGCAGTTATTTGATCAAGAATGAACCTTTAATATCATCAGGCCTTCAAAGGAACACGTTTATTCCATCAGATTTGGATTTTTCAAGTGATGATTCTATACAAGATACACATTATCAAGCTCCAGAAATAAAAACAGTACATTCAAGTTCGAGTGATGAATCGACTTCACGAATCTCTCCGACAGTGTTACCAAAAAACAGTCTTCGCTCCATTAAACACGAGAAAAAATCGAAAAGAAATCTGGGTAAGTCGTATAAAACTCTTAAAGGAAAAGTTATCGCTGATAGATCCATGAAAGAACTGTTGGCATGTCGCATGAAATGCAAGGAGCGTATACCTGTGGCCAAGAGAGAAGCAGTATTCAATGAATATTGGCTAATGGGTACATACCAAAAAAGTTCTGCTCACATGAAATGACACATGAAACATGAAATGTGAGCAGAACTTTTAGTATAGCTTTGTCTTCAAAAAATTGAAGACAAAGCTACCCAAAAACAACGCGTAATAGATCCTGAAAAACAGAAATTTCGTATGAAGATGTATAAATATGTAATAGATGGACTGCGTCAAGTTATTTGTAGGGGATGTTTACTAAACACCTTTGGCGAAAGCGATAATTTTATAAAAACCGTGGAAATGAAAAAAAGGTCGAGGAAAAAAAAAGTAGGTGGTACAAATATGAATGATATGCGTGGAACAACTGTACCTAAAAATAAAATATCCGATGACAAAAGGAAGGATAAAAAACCATATTTTGTCTTTGGCATCGTATGAGAGTCACTACACTAGAAAGACTACACCAAAGAAGTATTTGCCTTCTCACCTAACGATCACCAAAATGTATCAAATATTTTGTAACACGTATATCAAATTCCCTTCAATAGAAAATTTACAGCCAATAATTTAATTTAATTTTGTCAAGATGAGCAAACCAATCTCATGTTAGTTCTATGTTTACATAAGTTACAGTTAGAGAGAATGGAACATAAATTTATGGTTCCCGAAAATAGTTATTTAGAAGTTGATACAGATCATGGAGTAATAGAAAAGAAGAAAAAGAAAACAGAAATTCAAATTTATCATCCGCATGATTGGATATAAAACTTATAAGTCCAGCAGTAACAAATTTTAAATTGTGGAAATGCAGAATACTGACTTTTTGGACTTTGCATCGTTACTGAAAGATTTTTTGGTATTAAGAAATAAAGATGTAGATGGAAAGCAGTTTAAAGGGTTGGACAAAAGGTGGCTCCGCTATGACACGGAATTTGGAATAGTTTCTTACAAAGACACCTTGCAAATGTAATCATAATTTCACAAGATAAATTTGAGACGGAGGCCATCCTTGATGCCTAATAAGATCACAGTTATATCACTATTGCCTTTACCTATATAAAAAAAAGATGACTTCATTTCTTTACGAAAACTGATACCAAATGTTTTCCATAAATTTTATATAGATTTGTCTAGTAAGGAAAATGTAGCTAATATGGATCCTGATACTTTAGATGATGAGGATCAATAATATTAAGAAAATATTGTGATGTAACAAACTAAAATACCTAGTTTTTTATAGAGTCATATTTCCCTTCTAGTAAATATGTTGTACACACTCTCATAAAATGCAATAAACGTTTTTAAAAAATATTGAATTATTTCTTGTATAGTTTTATTCAATTTCCGAAAATCTGCAGTATTTGACTCATGCACTTTAGTCTGCCGACCCTACAATTAAAAGTAGGATCAGTTGTAATTATGCTGCGCAACATTAATCAACCTTGACTGTGCAATAGAACGAGAGTGACTGTGAAACGGCTAATGAATAATGTCATTAAGACAACGATCATCAAGGAAAAATAGGAAGAAGAGGATGTATTGAATCCGCGTATACCAATGATTCCAACCAAAGTACCATTTGATTAGTGAAGTATTTACAATTTCCCGTTGGTTTTGTAATGACAATAAACAAATCACAAAGCAAACCGTTGAAAGTAAGAATTACCATAGACTGTCCATATTTCTAGCATGGACAATTATTCGCGCGTCTGAAAACCGTCATCGATATCATTATGCAACGAAAAAAATATAAATACTGTTTATCAGAAAACACTAAATTGATTAATTTTTTTTCATACATAATATGTTATAGTTTATTTTTATGAACGAGAGAGTAATTAGCATAATTTTAACTGGTACTTCCGACCACTCCATGGGCGTGCTCAAGATTAATTGAAAAATTACTTTGAATAATTGTAAAAAATAAATGAATTATTTCAGTGTTA